AGTGCCAATTTCGTGCTATGTGTGCTCTAGCATTCGCATTTTTGCGCGTGGGTGAGATCACCGCAACATCACAGCCGGGCAATTGCCCTATACGGTTAAACCAGCTCACCAAACTCTCAAGAGATGGTGAAGTGATTGGTTACAAATTAATATTTGCTGATTACAAGCATACAATCAGCGACCATTTACTATGGTCATCAACCGACAAACAAGCGCTTGCCCTGTACAATTATTATCAACATATTTAAATCATCGTGGCTGCATGTAGTCCGGGTCCGGTATTTATGACTGTGGAGGGCGTCGCGGTGCCGAGAAAAGTTTTCACCGCAAACCTTAATTGTTGCTTGCTTCAAATAGTGTGACCTAAGTCCGTCGCATTACAAATCACATTCGTTTCGAATCGGTGCAGCATCTTTCGCTGCTGAGAAAGGTTTGTCCGATGCACAGATTCGTCTTCTAGGTCGGTGGAAAACGAATGCATTTCAAAAATATATTCGAGTTTCATCTCTTTCAACGACTGCTTCATTATCTGAGTAACACAATCCTTCCAAACCAGGCGACAATGTCGCGGGGTGTTGTCGCTTGGTCCGTTGCATCGTATATTTGGTGGTCCGGAGGGCCTGTCTAGCAGGGGCGGACATCTCGTCTTGATCACCAGATATATTAATGTTCCTTAGTTATTATACCCACTTAGACTGTTATTTCTGACTATTTTATTCCTTTCTGTGTGTTAACAACAGTTAGCAGGGGCGACTGTTAAATGTTTAGTATTGAAGGGATCTATTTACAACATGCTATACTACTCAAAGTGGTTTCGCAGAGGCGACCGCTTTCGATCGGCCTACACTACAGTTAACAGGGGTTACTGCAGTGTACTTTGACTCACTATAAAAAATTATGATACTTAAATGCTCTTTGCAAGTGGTGTTGCGTTTTCCTCGGGTGGGGAGACTCCGCGATTTATGTTCGACTTACTTCAATTGCGTTGTCTTTGGCGTGTAGTCCTGCCACCTTTACGGACAATGAACATTAACAGACTCAAGTTATTAACTCAAATTATCAATTTTAATGATTTTATGATATATTAAATGACGAGATTTTAAATAAAGCGGCTGTGAATCAATTTCACAGCCAAATTATCCCAAGTCGAGTGTTTTGTTTTGCCAGTAAACTGAGCTCGTTAAATGCAACACCTCGTGAAAAGCAGGAAGGCAAAGGCATTAATAAATATATTTCCTACGGAAATATGTTTTTTTATGTCAAGCCTGAATTATAGTGATAAGATAAAAGTAGGAAATAGTTAGATTGGATTGTGGCAGATTAAGGTGGGACTTGGCGGAGAGGGAATTCCGGTGCTTTTACCTACGTAAGAAACATAAAGTCAAGGCCAAATTTTAGCTACTATTGGGTTACACCCCACCCCCCTTCGCGACGTCCCTGCTTCTATGTCACAAGGTGCTCACGAAATCAATGCCTAGTATCAATCTTAATAACCACAATCCAATATATTTGTGGGCGTAACATAAGCGGTTTAAATATCCCTTTCCTATATTTGCTTTTCGCCGGCGTATAAAATAGCCGTACTGGATTAGTACCATCGCCTTGGGCTTATGATCTGGTTCTGTTTTATAATTCTGTTTTTGAAGAGGAGATGTGCTTTATTCTTGATTAAAAGGGTGTTGTTATAAAATGGTTGCTGTTTTAATAAATAATTTCACTTCTTTTTAAGAAAATATAAAGTAAAAGTAGCAACAAATTGTTGTCAACAATATTCACTATAATCTGTATAACAAGAAGTATATCAATGTGTGATATGATTTGCTTTCCTGTTTTTGATGAACAGATATCCCTATTGTATCCCTTTAAGCCTTGTTTCAATTCAGATTTGATATAAAATCCTACATCTTCGTAAAAACATATAAAATATAGCACGTATATAGTTCTAAAACCATGGCGCTTTGCACGATTTTTTCCCCAGTAGTTTTTTAGTGCAAGATATATTTTTAGTGCTCGAATTTTTTTTGGTATTTGCCCCCCCCCCCCCCTCAAAAATCTAATGGTCCATCCCTAACCTAAAATTCAAAGGCAAAGCAAATTACCCAACATCTTGTTTATAGGCCTGTTTACACTTGTAGTTTTCACTGCGATGTTTCAGTGAAATCTCCAATGTAAACTCCCTGCGATTTTGACTGCAACTTTGGTGCGACAACACTGCAATTTGCAGCGATTTTTCCATTTTACTGGCTTGTAAACTGAGTTAAATTTTCAATACATGACTCAAGTTTACAAGCAACATAGGCGTACGGGGCGGGGGGGTGGCGGTAGCCCCCCAGTTTTTTGGGCAGTTGGGCAATATCCCAGTTTTTTGGGCAGTCGGGCAATATTCGATCAACAGTCGGGCAATTTTGGTTTGCAATTAAAAAAAATGGGACAAATTCTGTCAATTTTGTAAAATGG